TTTTTCTTTTTTTTTTTATTCTGGGCCAGCTTTAGCTCTGGCTCCAGCTCTGAGGCCTCTGCTGCTGAAAGCAGGTATCTGGTTTGTTTGGGTTCTATAATTGAAACAATGTATAACTCCAGCTCTGAGATCCTGGCCGTCTGAAAGCAGATTCCTGGGGTTTGTTTGGCTTCTATATTTGTTACAATGTTTCTTAAACTGCAAGCTCAGAGGCCGGCAAGGCAGGAGAGGAATGTTGGAGTCCTCCGTCACTGAAGCAAGAAGCCTCATGTTCGCTTCCAGCTGCCTGGCTGCAGGCTGCCATCTTGGCTGGCAGTTAATTTGCATATCGCCCTGATTAGCCAATGGGAAGGGTAGCAGTCATACGCTAATTACCATGTTTCTCTTTTATTAGATAGGATGTTACCTTAATAAAATTTTTTTAAAATTATACTTTGCTCTTTGTGTGTTTTCATCCTCCCCTGCTCACCACCTCATGACACTTAAATTATTTTGGTCCCAGCTACAATTAAGATTATTTAATAAAAACGTAAGTTTGGTTTATATAGTCTCTCATTCTCCTACACCAAGTACTACATGAGATCTTTTAAATCAACGGAAGTATAGAACTAATCATAGCCAAAACTGTACTTTTGTTGTAAGTTACTCCTATAGGAAAATTTATGGTGTTCATAATTACATCAAAGTAAAATACTAGATCATTACTCTATTTAAAGTCTATAGCAACTTCATTTGTTTTCCTCTACAGAACTCAACATGTCGTGTTTCAAACAGTTAATTCATTTTCCAAGTTTCTCTGAAGATCTATTTTTCAAACCCAAAAGCAATACACTAATACAAAACTGATTTTTCAAAAACACGCTTGGAATATCTGTTTTCAGTATGTATAAATGGTTTCTGTGTTGCTAAGGTTTTTCTGCACACTGAAGAGCACAATCAATAAACTTGCAACGGTGGAAATATAACCTCTATGGTAATTCTTGATTTTGCTTATTTTCATGTTCTGGAGGTTTTAAATATAGACAATTCCAAAATTGTCTGCCAAAAACAAATTCAAAATTGTTAAAAATATACATACTGCATTGGCTCAGGTTCTTTACCCATTGAGAAATCTTTACTTTCCTATCCCTAACTCAGCATGTTTGAGATGGGGCTTAAATCTTCTAAGCCCCATCATGATAACTCCTCCCTGAGCCGTCATTCATGCTGGCAATTTAACTCATTTTTTCCTATGGGCTCCCTAATCATCATTCCCTTATTTTTTTTTTTAACTCCCTATGACTTACCACCACTCATACTGAAAGTTGAAGTAATGATTCTAACATACAAAACTCAACTCACCTTCTCTTTCAAGGTACACTTTCTCCCTAAGTTCCCATTTCCTTGACTTCTGGACTATCAGTCAAAAACTATTTCCTTGACTTCTGCAGTCACTCAGACTCAAACCTGACAGGGTTTGTTTATTGTGTGGACAGAGCAGTGGATACACAATCAGAGACTCAATTACTTTACTAGTTATATGAGGAGTTTTGAAAAGTTATTTAACTTTTCTGGGCTTCAGTTTGTTTATTTGAATGGCTGAATAAAATCATGACGACTCCTACTATATTCATAGGAATACTCAATTCCTGAGGGCTCCTTCTCAATCTTTATAGCCCATTACCAACTCTTATTCATCTTTCCTACGTATTAAACCCTTAAATTTGGCTACTCTTTTCTATTTTCAATTAATCCAATTAAATTTCAGGTTCCTAGATTTCTGAGAAGGCTTAATAACCTTATCTCTAGTATCTTCTGCTTTTTATTTCATAACTTACATAATCTTACTTACTTATTAAGCATATTTGCTTACTTATCTTACATGTTAATCTCATGAATGCTCAGTTCCAAAACTTACATGAACAACTCCCCACTGCCTACAACACAAATTGTTTAGACTGGCAATCTACTTAATGCACTTCACTTATAATTATTGCCCTTCAGAAGGCTAGTAACTGTGTGACTATGGCTAGCTTACTTATCTATTTTTCTGTCAAAACCTACTTCAGAATTGTTAAGACAAAGTAAGAAGAGACTTAGAACATTGCCAAGCACATGGCACTTTCTGAATTGGAGGCAGTTAGGCAGGCATAGTTAACCAAGCTTAACCTTCAGCACAGCTCACCTCTTCCAAAGTGACAGAAGGGGCCCTAGCAATTTTGTGTTCACAATTTCATATCATTTCTTTACAGAGGACCCAATGAACTACATAAGCCTCAGGGCCCTTTAGTCAGTAATATTAAACTGTTATCATACCTAGAAGGCAGATTTTTGCCTTTCTCTACCCTCATAAAATACCTGCACTTTTCCCTGTTTAACAAGTAGAGACAAGGAAATATGCTAGACACTGCAAACGAATCAAAGATTTCTGTTCCCAATCTATATTTTCAAAAGAGAAAATAAATCTACATTTAAAATAAAAAGAATCAAGTTACAAATAAAATGCTATGGGAATACAAGGGAAGGAGAACCGAATGGTTGGTGAAATAAAAGAATAACACCAAAACCTATATTCCTGTTGATCTAAGTATGCAGAAACACTGACGTTATTTACCTACCACAGAAGTGGCCAAATACTACATTTTACACATTTAAATATCAAAGAGACAGTCTTCCGTTTTTTCTGTATTTCCATATAGTATGCCTACTATACTGCTCCGAATACTCAGAGCACTAGTGGCTCCCCTAGTCACTCCAATCCCTCCAAAATGATCAATAGGCCAAAAGTACAGCTTGTTTTGTCAAATACCACCACCACAATACTAATTTGAAAGTCTGCTTCTCATCTAACGAGAAAAGTGATGAACTACCAGAATCACTCAGAAGCAAAGAGCCCACTTCATAATAATTCCATCTGAAAATTTATACCTATTACAAAATGAATTCAATACAGGTTCTTAAATTACAAGATAGTTAATCTAGAGGAACCCTAGAGAGCTTCACTTTACTGAAAACCTTTCACTGAAATTCCAATAATGAGCACAATATCAACACACACCATAATTTTTCTGCTATGCAAATAAAAAATTAACACTTGTTAAGCCTTTGTTTTGATATATTCATGCCTTTCTTAGGCCTTTTCTCACTAGCCTTCTAAACATTATAAACACCTAATATGAAACAATTCCAAATGCTGTCCAAATGCTTAGCCAAAGTACGTATACTGGAAGCAGGGTGATTTCTTAATAGCTGCACATGACCTAGTATCTTATGACCAGCTTGTTGAGAGACTCGCCCCAGCTGCCCTCCTTTCTCCAGGTTAACTACTGGCTCCAGCCATTTCTAAAAGTTTAACAGGAAGGGAGAAGGAAGTAAAAAAGCACAATGTGGATCTCCTCATAACTTTAAGAAAAACAAACGACACCACTCGCCCCCCCCCCCACATACTATCAAAAGATTACCCACCCTCCTCTCTTAAAAGGAGCCTACAAAATGACTTTTTGCTTTGCTAACATTTTGAAAAAGAGCTCTTGAAAAATACGGGAAAGGTAAGCTGTCGTTTCCTTACTCTGGCCCTCTGACTGCAAGAATGTTTTATTAAATAATGCTCTTCTTCCTGGACTAAAAGTCGGTCTCCATTCCAACATGTTCCAAGTTACTATGAATATGTTTTATGCCTTTCACGCTATCGAGTCAATAGCTCTTTTCTGAACGGGGGTAAACGGCGAGGGGAAAAGTACAAACGTCCTCCCCATTGAGATCTCTCCCTACATCTAAGCTGGCATAGTTTTCCCCCTTTCAGCAGCAAGTCTAGCTGCGATGGCTTCTGTGTAAACAGCCACGTTCCCAGAATCCCCCAACCCTACTCCGCTTGGCATCTCTGCACCAACCTCTTTCGAGATCCGATGTGCACTGTTCCCAGACCCAGCTGTTCTGACACCGCTGTTGCTCAACCCGGATTCCTACCCCCGGGACAGCTGCGACCCTGAGTCCCAAGTCATGGTGCGCATCCTGCCCCCTAACTGGATCCGGTCTCTGGCGGCAAACCCCCCGGGCAGACAAGGAGGACAGTGCCCTGCTCCCCTTTATCTCGCTCCATCCCTC